TTAAATTCGGTTTTGTATCTCCTAACATTCTAATTACATGTTAAGTACTGATATGTAAGGTACAGTGACTTTTAAATTTTATACAGAGGTATCATTGTAGTTAAAACCATTTTCATGCCTTTCTATTATATATATTGATACTTTTTTTCCCCCAGAGAATTACAATTACTGAAAGCAATATGAAGTCACGATATACAACAGAATTTCATGAACTAGAGAAAATTGGCTCTGGAGAATTTGGTTCTGTATTTAAGTGTGTGAAGAGGCTGGATGGATGCATTTATGCCATTAAGCGATCAAAAAAGCCATTGGCTGGTTCTGTTGATGAGTATGTATTAAACTTTTTTGTTTTTGTCTTCTTGAGGTTGAGTTTCACTATGTAGTTCAGGGTGGCCTTGAGCTTACTGTGTAGTCCGGGCTGGTCTCAAACTTGGAATGATCCTCCTGCCTCAGCCTCCTCTGAGTGCTGGGATTACAGGCATGTACCACCACGTCCCGTGGCTGGCTGTATTGAACATTTTTGTCTTTTTTTTTTTTTTTTTTTGGTCTATTAGTGTTAAAAAATTAAGGTTTTCGGTAATCATATGGAATTTAGTTTTTCGCTGAGATGTTAAGGTTTTTTAATTAGGCTTGACAAAATGTGAATATGTATGGTTTGATTTCAGATCCTAACCTAAAGTTCTGGGGAGGATACATGAATTTACAAGACAGTGGGGTTTAATTTTTGCTGAATGGGCCAGGGAGATAGCTCAGTAGAATAAGCGCTTGCCTGGCCAGCGCAAAGACCTGCATTCAATCCCCAGTACCACAAAAAATAAAATAACATAACATAACATAACATAACATAACATAACATAACATAAAATAAAATTAAAAAATTGCTGAATCCTAGTCAACTAAAGTTTCTTCTTCCTGACAATTTTGGTTGGTTTTTTGAGTCAGGGTCTCTAGCCCAGGCTGGCCCAGAATTCAAGGTAGTCCTATCTCCTTTTGGTGGATTATAGGTTTAGTGCCTGGAAAGTCTATTTTGTTTTTCGGAACTGGGGATTGAACTCAGGCCCTTGTGCTTCTTGTGCTTGCCAGGGAAGTGCTTATTCCACTGAGCCATCTCCCTGGCCCCAAGTCTTTGTTTTTGAGACTAAGTCTTGCTGTATATTCCAGGCTGCTCTTAAACTCACTCACATTGTAATACAAGCTGGCCTGGAACTCAGGGAATGATCTTTCTGACTCAGGCCCCCACATGCTGATAGTGGCAGGTGTGTATCTGGCAATTTAGTTTATTCTTGAATAAAAATGATTTACCATTCTATTAATCTCATTTTTCCTAGGCAGAATGCTTTGAGGGAAGTGTATGCTCATGCAGTGCTTGGACAGCATTCTCATGTGGTACGCTATTATTCTGCCTGGGCAGAAGATGATCATATGCTTATACAGAATGAGTATTGTAATGGTGAGTAAAATAAGTGGTTCGCTTATAAACTTGTGAGCCTATGAAAGCCAGCAATAAAGAAACATTTCTTCAGTTTTTTCTCCTATGATTGTCTCTGTTTATCTGCCATGTATGTCTCTAGCTCTGTTTGCATCTTACAGATTCAGAGAGCAGAGAGCAATAACTTGTAAGCGCAGATGATTAGTTAAATCATTGTCCCTTTGCATCGTGTGTGTGTGTGTGTTTCTGGTAAAGAGGACCAAACCCAGGGCTTCCAACTTGCTAGATAAGCATTCTACTGCTGAGCTAAATCCTCAGTGTGAATGAAATATCTTATACATACCTTAGTGGTAGAATTTTGTATACTATTTATCTATGTCTGTTAAATTAAAGGGAGCTTCCTGAGAGTATGGTGCCTCTGCCATGTATTTTAAATTTATGTATTTATTCGATACAGGGTCTTACTATATAGTTAGACTCATAGTTATCCTGTCCCAGGGTTGGGGAGATAGCTCAGAAGCATAAGCACCTGCCTTGTAAGCATCAGGTCCTGAGTTCGATACCTGGTACCACAAAAAATACATCTGTCTCAGCCTTCCCAGTGCTTGGATTACAGGTGTGTGCCAACATATCCAGTTTTGGGGCCAGCATGGGCGCGGGGGAGGGAGTTCCAGGCCAGCTCGCATGCGGTACCGGGGATTGAACTCCAGGCATGCACTTAGACTGCTGAGCTGTCTTCCCAGCCTGCCATATGTATTGTGATGACACTAGCACCAAGCATAGTGTGTAAGACCCATAGTAGTAAAGTAAGTCAGACAAGACATGGTGGTACATGCCTGTAATCCTGGCATTTAGGAACCTGCAGCAGGAGGATCACTTGCGTTCCTATCTAGCCTATACTACATAGTATTTTATTTATTTATTTATTTATTTATTTATTTATTTATTTATTTATTTTTGTGCGGAACCCAGGGATTGAACTC